AATTTATTTTCGCTTATTTAAGTTTTTCATAGCGCGTTTGTGTGTACATTATATTATAATATTAAACTAAACTTGTTTCTTTTTTAAAAACAGTCATGTTCTTTCATTATTAATATTTAATTTTTTCAATATTTTCTTGATCGATTTGTACATTAGCATTTGTATATTAATGAGAAATGTAGTGTTTTATATGTAGAGTTCTCAGGAGAGATCCACTCTTACACATACCAAATCTTCAGACTGACATAATTATATAACGGAACCAATAATTTATAGACAATGTAAGCAATTTTGTACAAATTATAGAAAATCTCCAACTTCGCAATATTCCATTTGAATAGATAGGATAAAAACTAAAGCAGACGATCTTGTTTTATTAAGAAAGCGAGAGGCTCGACTAATTCGTTATGAATAGATGATAAATGTTTTTGTACACATACACACACACACACATATACCTTGCGCGCGCGCGCGCGCGCTTGTGTGTGTGTGTGTGTGTGACAAACAAAAAGGATTCCGTACGCATTTATAACTTTAAATCTCTAATAATAAGTCCCAATTAATTATTAGTAATAAAATAATAATTTCTTAAAGATAGGCATCACCTACTTCTTAAATATAGACACCACTTAGATATTTTAAATTATCATGTTAAAGACGAGAAAAATAGAATAAAATAATATTTTAACATCAAGTATTACATATAGTTCATAAGCATTTTGATCAATGAGAAATTCTACCATTATAAATCGTCATGTTATTTCGGCAAATTTATTCTCAACGTTTCATCAATTTAAACATTTATAAACCTCAGCGCATTTCATGAATTTAATGCGCGATGCAAATTAGATATTTTCATTTTTCTCACCTTTACCTTTATACACTCGGCGTCATACTAGAAGAAATTTATATGATAAGACATAGTTATGACGCTGATTGTGAGTATAATATCCATATGAAAGTTGCATATACCTATACGTGTTTATACTGTCCCTTTAGTCTAATTAGAAAAGAAGGAGAAGAAGCACGATCTCTGATAAACGTAATCGTAAAAAGAACAACGTCATAAGCTCCGAGCGAAAAAAAAAACGGAGCTTAAATCGTTGATAAAATGGAACGTCCAAAGAATGTCACATGCAAATTTATTATATATCGACAAGAAGGTACGATATTTTTCCACCAACGCGATATCTCGTTAGCTCTGTAGTATTATTGTACAACTAATTACACAAATGCAAACTACATGTATATTTACGATTAATCGATGTTAGCTGGAAAACGACAGTTCCGTTTTCCTTGAGCTCAATACTGGTATCTAGGAAGAATAAATACGAATGATATTTAGAGACGATTATTTGATTGTAAATAGAAATGCACTTTCGTATTCAAAAAAAATCTATTTCGCATAAATAATAATAAAGATATCATTGCTCTGGAAAAAATAAGTATATAAAATATAAATTTATATGTATATTAATAGATCTTTGTTTACTATTATGTCATTTCTATTAATTTCGGAGATAATAATTTATGAGATTGTTGCAGATAAAAAATACATAGTGTTAAATAATAATTGAAACTTCTAATGGCAAAGATTTTTGTTAAAAAAAAAGTAATTATTTATTACCTAAAGTAATTATTTATTACCTACAAATATACAGCGAATTCTCAATATATTTTTATTAAGATCAGAAAGACGTGAATGTAAAAAAAAATTGAATGGAACGTTAACTGCGAGAAACACGGTCAGCTAAAGCATACGTTGATATCCTTTCTAAATGTCATCCTTATGCGGCTATTATATACCTTTTCACTGTAAATGAATAATTAATTAGAGATTAGCGCAAGATGATCTCGTAATACTTAAAATGAGTGAGACTTCATACTCGATAAGTAATCGCTCTTTAGGCTCTCTCTGTACTTTTATAAAGACAAAAACGATGTAAAATAGCGGAATGTAGAAGATAAACATCGAATACCTGCATCAGTATTATTAAATTTAAGGAGACACGAGCATTCGACGAGACTTAATTGACTCGTGAAAGGCTTCGTGAAAAAGTAGCGATATTTAATCCTTTAAGATAGAATAATTCTCGATAATCCTAGTACTATATGAATCTTATTTCCTAAGCATTTCCACCATGTACAAATCATTAATCCTAATATCCCATTACAAAAATATCCGATTACAAGCACTTACATTACTATTTGAAATAATAGTATTAATAGAAAGTTAATTTTTATTAATATATAGGATTATTCTTATAAAACATTCTGTCGTTTATGAATTTATTTTCTTCAATATCGTAAGATGGTATCTCATTGTATATTTTTCTGTCACAGTGTCTATCATTCTTAAGAATGATAGTTCTTCATGTTTCTTCATAAGAGATAATATGGTAAATTTAGAATTTGTATCTATTTTTTCTAGAAACGCATTACTTAAGCATTACTTTCTTCAAGCTCATGCATACCATTAAAGAGCTTTTGTAAGAAATAGCGTTTGTACACATTTATACCTATATCATATATTACACGATACACATTACTAATAAGTAGTACGTACAAGTATTTTCGTCTTCGGATAAATACGCAGTCGATATTGTGCAACGTGAATTATGTGCCAAAGCGTAAGATAAAGAAAATGCCATTGGCATGACCGTGTCGATGATTTGCGTCCAAGAGGATCCAATTAGAAAATTTTAATCGATCTAATTTCAGCAGACTCAAATTCCGATCTGCTTTAAAAACAATTAATTTATAACATCGAAAATTTAACCTATTGGTTTTAATACCGAATGCAATCTTTCTTGATTCGCATAACAGGAATTGATCGTGTAATTTTTTTTTCTGAGGCTAAGAAATCAAAATTTTTCAACAAATTCGTCGAAAATACAAAGCTTTTTTAATGTAAAAATATAATAATATTCGATAAATATTTGATAATAATTGAAACTTCTAATGGCAAAGATTTTTGTTAAAAAAAAAGTAATTATTTATTACCTAAAGTAATTATTTATTACCTACAAATATACAGCGAATTCTCAATATATTTTTATTAAGATCAGAAAGACGTGAATGTAAAAAAAAATTGAATGGAACGTTAACTGCGAGAAACACGGTCAGCTAAAGCATACGTTGATATCCTTTCTAAATGTCATCCTTATGCGGCTATTATATACCTTTTCACTGTAAATGAATAATTAATTAGAGATTAGCGCAAGATGATCTCGTAATACTTAAAATGAGTGAGACTTCATACTCGATAAGTAATCGCTCTTTAGGCTCTCTCTGTACTTTTATAAAGACAAAAACGATGTAAAATAGCGGAATGTAGAAGATAAACATCGAATACCTGCATCAGTATTATTAAATTTAAGGAGACACGAGCATTCGACGAGACTTAATTGACTCGTGAAAGGCTTCGTGAAAAAGTAGCGATATTTAATCCTTTAAGATAGAATAATTCTCGATAATCCTAGTACTATATGAATCTTATTTCCTAAGCATTTCCACCATGTACAAATCATTAATCCTAATATCCCATTACAAAAATATCCGATTACAAGCACTTACATTACTATTTGAAATAATAGTATTAATAGAAAGTTAATTTTTATTAATATATAGGATTATTCTTATAAAACATTCTGTCGTTTATGAATTTATTTTCTTCAATATCGTAAGATGGTATCTCATTGTATATTTTTCTGTCACAGTGTCTATCATTCTTAAGAATGATAGTTCTTCATGTTTCTTCATAAGAGATAATATGGTAAATTTAGAATTTGTATCTATTTTTTCTAGAAACGCATTACTTAAGCATTACTTTCTTCAAGCTCATGCATACCATTAAAGAGCTTTTGTAAGAAATAGCGTTTGTACACATTTATACCTATATCATATATTACACGATACACATTACTAATAAGTAGTACGTACAAGTATTTTCGTCTTCGGATAAATACGCAGTCGATATTGTGCAACGTGAATTATGTGCCAAAGCGTAAGATAAAGAAAATGCCATTGGCATGACCGTGTCGATGATTTGCGTCCAAGAGGATCCAATTAGAAAATTTTAATCGATCTAATTTCAGCAGACTCAAATTCCGATCTGCTTTAAAAACAATTAATTTATAACATCGAAAATTTAACCTATTGGTTTTAATACCGAATGCAATCTTTCTTGATTCGCATAACAGGAATTGATCGTGTAATTTTTTTTTCTGAGGCTAAGAAATCAAAATTTTTCAACAAATTCGTCGAAAATACAAAGCTTTTTTAATGTAAAAATATAATAATATTCGATAAATATTTGAAAAAAAAAACGAATAAAATTTATTGACAATTTCATAATTGGCTCCCTAAATCTTTCGGCAAATACGGTCAGCTAATGTACAAGTTAGTCACGTAAGTTTGCCTTAATATAAGGATTGTTCATTATGACAGTAAGATTGACAGGAGAAAGCGTTGACGTCCGATATGTTAATTAAATTTTGAAAACCTTTCCTTTCAACTTTCATGATTTTTGACGAAAATATCTCAATTGCTTCAAAACAGATATGAAAGATTGAAAGAAGGAAATCGCAATTTAAAATTTAGCCGAGATAGTGCTTAAAAATTATAATTTTATTTTTTTCTATTCATTCGGCTTTATTTCAAACCGCTGCAGTCTCCATAGTGTTCATAATTTTATATTTGATTCTATATATTTACTTTCTCTATCTTCATTTTGTAAATTGCTAACCAGTATATAATATCTGATATATTATGTTACTTTAAGTATGTATAATAGCTGTTTTAATTCTTTTTTACAATGATTTCTGAAATGTGATCGTACACATATAAATTTATATATATTTGTTATTGTTAGTGTTCAGGTTAGGCATTATCAGCACGATAGATGTAATCGCTAAATACTATTGATATATATCATCTACTGTACATTACTTTGCATACACATACAATAAATAGTAACTACCCAAATGCTAAAAAGAAAATTTATCATTGTATCAGACATATATTTATTTCTTAATAAATCATTTACATGCTTCAGAATACAGAAGAAAAACACATTTCTTCTGTGCATTCAAACATAATTCCTACAAAATAATTGAGCACTTATTTGTCATCAACTTAACACATTGCTAAAATATTGTGATTCAATTTCAATAAAAATAAAAAAAACGAAAATTTTGTTTTATTATGCAGAGAATCTCACATTGTTACAAGTTTCATTCTCCTCTATAATAATGAATATTTCTCGCTTTTGAATAATTCTCGCTATATACAAAATTTAATATAGGAAACACATATATAAGGTTTTGCAAAAGTACGAATAAATCGTATAATCTACATATTATTTAGGTGGATTTTTCTTAAATTCATTTTTTTTTTCTTCTAGTTGTTGCTTTAATTGCTGTGCAATATCTCGCAACTGTTTAACAAAGTCTCGCGGACTAGAAATAGTGCGGCGGGTTCCGTGAATCATACCTGTCCTAATTAGTATATACACTACAAATTGTGCACTTTGTCTAATTGGTTTGGATTCTGCCAATTTATTAATTAAATTTTCATTATTTAAGAAATAATGAAACAGAGCTCTTAAAAAACGCATTTTTGAAAGATATAAGATTGCTTTCCTATATGCTTGCGAAAAAATGTGCACATTTATATTTTTGGTATTTCAAATGTACACGTATTACGATACTTTAATAAAAGTTCACGCTTCAGTCTCAGTTGCTTGCGTAAAGTCTCGAGTTTTTGTAATTGTTCTTCTTTACTATATTCTATTCCAGGTAATCTCTTAATCTGTAAAATATAATGATAATATTATACAAAGAATTCTGATTATGTAAGATATATTTGCATATATATGCACAGAGATTTAACTCTTACTTGCGATCTTGCAGAGTCTAATTTCTTCTGTAATTCTAGGATTTTGTGGCTGGTATCTTGTGACTCTTTTGCTTTTTGCGTAGTGTCATGCGGATCTTTTTCTACACTAGAAATTGTAACTATATAGCATCACCTTATGCCAATATACAAATAATGTGAAATATATATCCAAACATATCTGATTAATAATTCATATTTTATTCTTATACATAAGAGTTATTAACAAGATTATTAATACAAAAAGAGAGAGAGAGAGAGAGAAAACGTTTGTAGATCTACATTTACATAACATTTTTTCATCAATATAATTAATAAAATATATTGCTCAAATGATCCAACATTTTATAAACAACCATCTGTCAATTTTTAATCATTTTACACACTTTTATTGTCATTTTATATTTTTCTGGACATATATGAACGATACAGATCTTTATGTGATACAAATATAATATGGAATAAATAACTAACCACTACAAAATAACATATAAATACATTTGCCCTTTTTCTCTTGAAGCAATGACTTAATTATAGCTCTTGCGCAGTTGTCATAACGCGTTTTGTGCTTAATTATTTTAATTAATTGTGCACGTATATATTTGTTTACATATTACAGTAAATAAAATATACCTGTATATTAATGCACGAATCGAGTCAAAATAAATAATATAACAAACACACTAAAATATATGTTCGATATTTTGATGGAGAAGAAATCTCATCTTTAAAAATCTTTTATAAAGACAACATCGCGGAAAGAGAGATTTTAATTCTAGTCAATTTGAGGTTATGCACTGTTCGCTCGCACTGTGTGCTCGAATGTGTCAGTATTGAAACAATAATTCCTCTCTCCTTTAATAATATATACCTTCGAATGATCTCGTAAATGAGTGGCAGTATCTCTATGTCTAAATCGTCAACAGTAAATTGCGTTGTCCTCAGAGAGACATCCTCTGGCATTTCCACCGTCTCCATTACTACAGTAAATGGTTACGTCTCGACCATATAGAGGGCAGGTGCCATTCAAGAAAGAAGAAGAAAAAAATAATTTTATATTGCACAATGTTCATACAGGAGTTGGTCGACTGCCTAAGAAATTTAAGTCTGCATTCTCTCCAAAGAGATATGCTTCAGGCTGAGGTGTGTCAAATCGTTCGCCGCCCATTATGAAATGACTACCAAAATAGGAACCTGCCAGAAATAATTTACAAATTATTATACAGCTCTAATAAAGTGGAACGCGTGTTTAGAAGTTTTTTTGTAAAAAAATATAATAATAAAATCGCAAAGTAAAATTTTCCATAATTATAAATTTAATACCAGTTCGTGGAGGATATTTATACGCATGATTCGAAGTGATATCAACTTCTTCGACGCCAGCATTCTGCCTGCTTGTCAACGACCCCATTTTGCAATTATTTATTGATAAATTGCAAATCTGCAGAAATATTTGTTTAGCAACAATTATTAAAAATGTGTAAATCTATAGTTAAACCACAGAGAACTGTCACAAACTTCTGGGCTGCGTTCCGTTTCACGCATTGAGCGCATAGATCGCCTGGAAATCTATAATATATGTTACGTGAACTATAGATTTCCATGCGATTTATGCGCTCAATGCGTGAAACGGAACGCAGCCGAGAAGTTTGTGACAGTTCTCTGTGGTTTAACTATAGATTTACACATTTTTAATAATTGTTGCTAAACAAATATTTCTGCAGATTTGCAATTTATCAATAAATAATTGCAAAATGGGGTCGTTGACAAGCAGGCAGAATGCTGGCGTCGAAGAAGTTGATATCACTTCGAATCATGCGTATAAATATCCTCCACGAACTGGTATTAAATTTATAATTATGGAAAATTTTACTTTGCGATTTTATTATTATATTTTTTTACAAAAAAACTTCTAAACACGCGTTCCACTTTATTAGAGCTGTATAATAATTTGTAAATTATTTCTGGCAGGTTCCTATTTTGGTAGTCATTTCATAATGGGCGGCGAACGATTTGACACACCTCAGCCTGAAGCATATCTCTTTGGAGAGAATGCAGACTTAAATTTCTTAGGCAGTCGACCAACTCCTGTATGAACATTGTGCAATATAAAATTATTTTTTATACATATATTAGTAAAATTCTTATATGAATGATTTGTTTAAATATGGACACATACATATTTATATAGTTATATTTTTTTTTGTTCTTGATTCTTAATATCAACAAAGATAATTTTGTCTCTTGTTGCAGTTTCCATATCCTCCACCACAAGCAGGCGATCCTACAAAGACATTAAAGAGTTTAGTAAACATAAGGAAGGAATCTTTAAGACTGGTTCGTAATATGGATCAAACATCGACATCTTCGCAATACCATAATGTTAAGCATTACGGAGATATAGACATTGACAAAAAACCTAGTCGTTTCAATATTGAATTTATATTTGACTGTGACGTCAAATGTGCAATAACGATATATTATTTTTGTACAGAAGAGATTTCAACAAAGGGAGTTGCGTATGTATATTATATATAAGAGATATTGCTGAATATGTGGAAATTAGAATATATTTTCGTAACATATTTTATTACATCTAGGTACATTCCACGAGATTCATCTATGAATTCTGAAACTTATCATTATAAAAAAGGAGCAAACCAATTATTTTCACAAACATCGCATATATTTGATCCAACATTGTATACCGAAGAAGATCTGATGTACAATGCAGATAGAGAAGTATTTATAACATATATTTTATATCCTTAAAATAATTTTTATATTTTTTCCCACATAAAAATATAATATATTTTTTGAATTTGATAGATTATTCCGATAGCTATACATTGTGTAGCTGAAGAAGGATCAGATGATCCAAAACAATCTCACACAACCATAGCTGTTGTTGAAAAACATTCTGATGGCACATATGTGCTAAAAGCGCTCAAACAAAAAATCTATGTAGATGGCCTCTGTTATTTGCTACAAGAGATTTATGGAATTGAAAACAAAAATACTGAGAATGCAAAGGTACGAGAATATATACAATATTTGAAAAAAAAAATGCATCTTCAAAATATTTAGTTTCAAATAAAATTCCGAAAAATTTAATTCGTGTCAATTCTCATAAAATTTTTACAAATTCATCTAATATTCAAATATTATTTGTTCTTGTATTTTCTTACACAGCAACAAGGTAGCGATGAGGACACTGAAGACAATGGATCCGAATGTGTTATTTGCATGAGTGATGTACGCGACACGCTAATTTTACCATGCAGACATTTGTGTTTATGCAATTCTTGCGCCGATTCCTTGAGATACCAAGCGAATAATTGTCCGATATGTCGCGCGCCATTTAGAGCACTCTTACAAATTAAAGCTCTTCAAAAAGCGATTGGTACAATTATATCAAATCCGCCATTGCCAGAGGTGAGAATATTCAGATAATTAATACATTCGCCTTTTTTTACTATCATTACCTCTAATACATTTTTTGATAGTTGATGCAGTAATTTAATTCGAGCATGTTTCTTTTTTTATTTGTTATTGGCGTTAAAAATTGTATAATATATCTCGAGATCATTATTCTAGGGAAGCTGTGAGAATATTCCATCAGGCTATGAAGCAGTGTCTCTAATAGAAGCTTTAAATGGACCTTATATTCCACGGACTGCTATTATCGCGCCAGAATCTCCAGATACACCTGATACAGATACGGCAAGTGCTATTCAAGCCGCGGAAACTTTAAATCGGTAAATATCAATTATATTTATACTCTTTTTCGATATAAACAAGTCACTTGAGAAACATGCTCGCTTACAGCACTGCTGAACGTACTCCGGTCTCGAAACACATATCCGCTAAAGAAGATATGTCAGCCAGATCCAGCGGTACTGCTTGTCCAACTCCCGAATTTCGAATGTCTGTATTATTAGCCAGAGATGAACACTCGGGTTCTCAAAAGGAACTGCACAATAGATCTCCAGCTACGCGAACCAAATCAGTACATTCGCGCGACAAATCTAGTTTAAGAGCACGCGACACATTGAGATTGGTGAATGAGAAGCAGCCAGTTTCTTTATATGAGGTACGCTACTTTTATTCACTTTTAAGAAAAAGCAAATTAAGTCTATACTTGAATGTATTGAATGTCATTATTGCTTTTCCCACATAGTGCCGACTTTTTGCAAGCAGTTATGTCAAATTTTGGTTTGGATAAATCCACTTCAGGAATTCATCTTTTAAAATTATAATCTTATATAAAAACGGAAAAGGAAATTTGAAATTAATCAGCACTAATGTACATCTTTTAGCTCTCATACACACATTAAAATTGTGTTTTACATATATTTATATGTTTGTAAGGGACAAGGACAAGATGAAGACAGCGAAGCAGAGAAATTGTCGCCATTATTAGATGCAGCTACAAGTACTGAAGCTTTAGATGTACATTCCCATAGAATATGCGACATTGATATTGATGACGAAATTCAAAATACAGAAAATGAAAATGACGCGGACATTACCTGTCATTCGCATTAGAAACTGGCAGAAGATATATTTTTGTATACATTATTCATTCTTGTTAAATATTGTCTATATAATGTTTTATCTTTCATGTAAAAAATGCAGATCAGTTATTTATTCAAAGCTTTAAACTATTTACCGCAACTATATTGAATCATTTTTACAATCTTTTTAACGTAGTCTATTATGAATACATTGTCATTAACTTATATAGAAGTTTAATATAGATATTATTATTTTGTATATTTAATTATATATTGTAAGAACATAGAATGCATTACATTGTATTTCTTATGAATTTTATGCTCTTTAATTGTTAGATTTTAAAGCAATATGTATACTTATACATGTATACTTTGAAATTACAAAGACTGTATTTGTAAAAAAGAAACAGTACAGTATCCTTTTTTTATAAGATGCAGTTAATAAAATAATTTACATGCAAATTGATATTAGATAATGAAAAAATGCTTTAATTTTATTTGATTTTTATTTTATAAAATGTAAATTTAATTTAAAATAGCATATTAGATAGTACTATCTAATAGTACGATAGCACATTTTGATAGGCCAACTTCTAAGATAATATATAGATGATTATTTATATATACATATCAGATTGATTGTCAAAGCTAAATCTGTACTCCAAATAGTTTGAAAGGAAACTTTTTTTTTAATCTATATGTTTTTATCCTTTTTTTCACAATCATTAGTTTCTGGTTTACAACACTATTTTTTCAATCACATTTTGCAATTTGTATATAAATAAAACTTTTAATTTAATAAAAAAAAAAAATTTTTTTTTTAAACTGCAGTAAAGGAATTTTAGCACTAACCTGAATTTTCATAAACATGGGAAATTCTGAATGTCACCCACACATCCTCAAATTGTTCTTAGGTTTAATAAATAAACATTTGACTTGCTTTTTCCAATTGTTTTATTCAATTCCATGTCAAAAATGTTCCATCCCTATTTAAGCAGCAGCAAGTACCTTCCTGAACTTCTTCCATTCCTCAAGTGGACCATGTTCAGGTAGATATTTAACATTGCAACCATCTGGGGCAAGATAACCTGCCACTTTAAGCTCCTCGTATTCGGAACGATCGTATTTCGTAAAACCCCATTTCTTCGATACATAAATCTTTTGACGCCCGGGGAACTTAAATTTAGCACGTCGCAGAGCTTCAATGACAGCCGCCTTATGGCGATCAGAAGAACGCACACTCATAATCGGTTGACCAATGTGTACTCTTGCTACAGTACCCTGAGGCTTGCCAAAGGCTCCTCTCATTCCAGTCTGAAGCCTACACAAAGAACATTATCCCTGATTATGATAATTTATCAATAATAATACATGTCAAACTATAAAGTAAATCAAATTTGCATCAATAATTTAAAAAATGATACATTTAAAAAAAATGAAAATTCTTAATCGATATCAGTTACATACCTATCAGCTCCAGCACATGATAACATTTTATTAATACGAATAACATGGAAAGGATGGAGTCTCATACGAATATGGAACTGATCTTTGCCAGCATTCTTCACCATGTATTTGTTAGCACAAATACGTCCGGCTTCCAAAGCTTCAGAACTAAGCTGTTCATATTCATCTGACACCAGATGCACACATAATGGAAAATCTTCCACCGATGCTTTTTTCTTGCCAAGATCAAAAATACGGATCTTTGGATCCGGTACACCACGACAGAATCTGGATTTCGGGTACGGTTTATTTTTACAGTACCGATAACTGAAAACAAATATTTGTAATATGTGTTATATTATTAAAAACTTTAATATTTTGCTAAACAGTATTTAGCAAAATTGTGTTTATTATGTTATAATATTATGCAATATAATGTAATTGCAAATTTTAATCAGGGAAAGATCTATATACAAATTCTATATACATATGGAAAGTAATATATTTGTATATATCTTTTTACAAGAATATAAAAATTCCAAAGTATGAACAAAATGTTACAAATTTTGCATAAACAACTGCTAAAAGCAAGAATAATTAAAAATCTTATTGTACATACCACCTCGCTGGTCGGCGCCCCATTTTAACCTATAATTTAAATAAAATCTAAATCAGAAATACTAAAATTACATTAATTGACGTAATCAGAATAGATTGTAAAAATGCAATATGCAAGAAAATATTAAATGTATACTGCGATGTTGAGAAATAACAATGGATTAAGAAAAGCAATCTTACCGATTCTAAATGAGGCTAACCCAAATGAGAAAAGAAAAAGGTTGCTTCCATAGACTTAAGAAAACATAGACGGAGCGTAACCTTGCGGGGTACATGATATCCACGGTAAGTGCCGGTCCACAATAGGTGATTTAAGCCCTAAAGCCCGTATCAGACTATGCATTGAAAATTGAAGATTGAAGATTAAAGATTGAAATTTGACTAATCAGGACAAAAGGGATTAAAATTTCTTTGTCCTGATTGGTCAAATTTCAATCTTCGATCTTCAATCTCAATCTTCAATGCGTAGTCTGATACGGACTTTAAGGGTGCCGTGTAACCTTAGAACATATATAAATGGAAGGGGAATGCCTTTGTTTCCCGATAGAAAAACATGTCGGAAGGAAGTAAGAAAGAAAATCATAGTTG